TAGGTCTTCAGTTTACAAAAGGGTAGATTTCTTTCAGAGGTATATGTTCTGAACTGGTTATTGTAACAACTGCGGCTGGGCACGAGAAGGGTTTCTCGGTGGTACTGTTTTTTTTGTTTTTGTTTTCTTGGTTCGGTTTAGTTAAAGAAAATCAATTATAGTGTCTCCCGGAACAGTCTCCGGGACGTGGAGTAGCCATCTGTGAACCACGTTAAAAAATGGGTAGTTATCATAAATGGTCACAATTCTATTAGCTTTGTACAAAACAGTCACAATCCTTTAATTTTGCACGTTTCAGTAAAATAGGTTTGAGCGAATAACGAAATGGTCAATCCGTCCAATTCCGTCCAAAACTCCGTCCCAAATCGCCACATCAGCATGCCACGTCATTGTAAATAATAATTAAAAATGGATTAGTCAGCCCAACTCCAACCGGTCGAAACCATCCTTTACCCATCACAAACCCGGATCATATCTTCAATTTGTCATTCTTCATCCCCAAAATCGCGAGTTGGAGGCGCCCTAAGGAGACAGAACGTCGCAACTCGTGGGAGCGATTCGGCGCCGTCGCCAAGTCCTCCTCTTCGGCATCATCCTCTTCGCAAATCGTGGGAGACGTTCTCCTCGCCAAGTCCTCCTCGCCGTTACCAAACCCCAAATCCTCTCGTCATAACCCTCTTCGTCGGCCGAACTGTAGAGATTGTTCGCGATTCTTCTGCCGTCGCCAAGTCATCCTCGTCGGCGCCAACTGTCGGAAGCCATCTCCTATCATCCCGACGTGCGGGAGAGCGATTCCTCCTCTCAACCTCTAATCGGCCATTCTCCTCTGTTTTCTTAAAACAGCTTCCCCTGTTTATTTGTTGTTTTTTACAGAGATGGTAAAAGGTTTGATTGAAGTGAAGAAATGTGACGGAACTCCATTTGGAAAGGATTACGAAAAATCCACACTTAGAATCAAAACTTATGGAATAAAAATTGCAAGATTAAAGGTTAGGATTGTAAGACATGAGACTGGAAGAAGACATATGGAAGTAGCTCTGTTTTTGTGTGTGGCCGGAAATTAATCTTTCAAACTCGCCTACCTAACTCCATACTCTTTTCTTCGCCGTCACTCGATCTGGGTCGGTTCCATCATTTCCCTACCCATTGGCGCCGCCATAGAGGCTGCCGACCACCTCGGAATCTTCCCTTCAGCCGGCGCCTCCGCCAGGGATGCTGTTGCCGACCTAATTCTAATTAATAATTGGAAATGGTAAAGAAAACCTAGCACCGCTCTTAGGATTTGGGGTGAACTGTCGCCGCAGTGGACTGGCATCAATTGTCGGCACCACGCAGCATTGCCCCGTCGCCGTCGAGGAGCTCCGGAAAAGCATTTTTATAGTTTATGTATTGCGATGATTAACTGAATTTTTATGAAGATTTTTAATGACATGTCATGCTGATTGGGAAAAGATAACGGAGTTTTGGATGGAAGTGAACGGATTGACCAATTTCATTATTCACTCAAACTTGTCTTACCAAAACGTGCAAAATTAAAGGATTGTGACCGTTTTGTACAAAGTGAATAGGTTTGTGACCATTTATGATAATTACCCTTAAAAAATGCCCGTGTTCTTTCTCCTTCCATTGCTCGCTTTCTTTTCTATTTCTCTGTTATCATTTTGCTTGTTTTCTGAATGGTTAAAGGTCGTCCTAAAAATTACTAATCATCATCCTAACTTAATACGTAATTTACTGAATTGCCCATTTTGAATTTCAAAATCAAACACAAAACAAACAACCCCTCCCCCTTCCATAAATCTAAAAAAAATTATAAACCAAAATCCAACAAATTATCTTATGGATTGAATCATAAATCGTAGTAAAAGAATAGAAAATTATTGATATAAACAAAAAAAATCCAAAAACACTTCAATTGAAGCCAATTTTCGGTTGCACCATGGCTCAACCGAAAATCACCTTCGATTGCACCTTGGCTCAACCGAAGAGAGTTTTTGGTTGAGCAATGGTGCAACCGAAGGTGATTTTCGGTTGGTCCATGGTACAACCGAAAATTGGCTTCAGTTGAGCCATGGTGAAATTGAAAATTGGCTTTGGTTGAGGGAGTTTGAGATTTTTTGAAAAGAAAAATCAAATTTTTACCTTGTCGGAGTCACTATTCATGATTCGGACGTATTCTCGACGATTATGACTCGAGAATGTCAATGATGAATTTTTTTTAGTCAAAGTGATGTTTGTTTGTTAAAAATGTCAAAAGATTAAAAGTATAACTTTATTATTTATTAGGACGATCAATAGTAATTTTAAGAACGACGTTTATCAATTCTCGTGTTTTCGTGGGTTCTTGACGAAGAGTAGAGGTTGAACACTTGAACTCCGTCTCTAAAACATTAGTCTAAGCCTGGAACAATTACGTGTGCGCTTAATTAGTTGGGTTTAGATTCTTGGGTCATTTTAAATCAATGGGCCAATTTTTACTTCTTATTACGTGTAACTTGGGCTTTCTTCTTTTAGGCTCTTTTAGATGGATTGAAGTATTCTCTTCCAGTTCGTCCTCCCCTCTTCGGCTCAAGATAGGGTGCATAACCATGGGTTATGCACCCATCAATAACCAAATCTGGACCCTTCATTTAGAAAATCCAGATCTAAGGATGGAGAATTAAAGACTATTTTTATTTTCACTAGCTTTCTTAATTGACTCATATCTTTTTCGTTTTAACTCGGATTTTAATTTTTTTTGCACAGATGGAACGAGTTCACCGTGCTCTACAAAATGAGATCAATTTTCAATATTTTTTTAGGAAAAAAAAAATTCTGGCCTCTCGGTACCAACTGCATACCATATGGTATCTTCTTCGTTTTTAATTCGTTTTTGAAAACGTTTGCACAGCAGGGATGAGTTCATCATGATCTACTGGATCTACAAATTTCTTGGTGAACAAATTACAGGACCAAAAAATACCACACAATACCATACAATACCACCCTGGTACGGGGTGGTATTGTATGGTATCTTCTTCGTTTTTAATTCGTTTTTAAAAACGTTTGTACAGAAGGGACGAGTTCATCATGATCTATTGGATCTACAAATTTCTGGGTGAACAAATTACAGGACCAAAAAATAGCACACAATACCATACAATACCACCCTGGTACGGGGTGGTATTGTGTGGTATACAATGTTAAAGGTCGTAAATTACAATTAATATACTTCTACTATCATGTATTCAACCATCCTACAGTATTGGTTTGTTCATACCACCATGGTACGTTTTTCAAAACATATGTATGCTTTTATTTCAATACCAGTCAATACCATATGGTATAGGCTGGTAAAAAATGGCTCAATTTTTTTGTTCGAAAAATATATTAAAGTGGATATCAGTTTGAAGAGCACAATTAATCTGATCTAACTGTGCAAAAAAAATTAAATTTCGACTTAAAATGAGCGAGAAATCATCCGTAAAAGATTAAAGAGGGAAAAATTAAAGGCTTTCAATGAGAGAGAGGATGCTGATGTCATGCTGATGTGGACGGGTTACTCATGGTTACTCACACCATAAGGTTACTCACCTGATCCATTCCCGTCATCTTCTTCTCTACTCTGCACTTTCCCATTTTCTTTCTTTTCAATCCATAAAATCAGACTGCTCCCTTTTTCAGAGGATGGAGTCGTCGACGTTGGCGCCTTCAACCCACTTGCTGCTGCTTCGAAGAAGACCAAAGTTCGCGGTTTCAGGAAGGAAGCAGATGCCGAGCGGCTGTCACCTGGTCGGATGTGAGCTCAATTCTCTTGGCACTGAAGGCGATCCTGGTCTACAACGATCGATTGATTTTTTGGTTACTGGTGCCTACGACAAGGACGCCAAGAGGCAGAAAGAGGTGGCAGAACGCAATAAGAAGGAAGATGCACCGAGAGTGCTCTTTCCGCAGCTATGGGGTGAGAACGATGATGATCGAGTTTGCTGAGAAGGGAGGAGCTGATCCCTTGAAGGACATGATAGCTTTCTATGAATTCATCAATAAATCTCTAGCTGTGAATGTCTCGCTGACTCGATTGAAGGAGAAAGTCGTCAGATTGAGTAAGATATTCAAGAATCGTGCCAAAGGGAAGAACGGTTTGGACAACAGCTTTAGCAAAACTCATGACCAGAAACCTTTCGACGAAGAAGATCTGGGACAGCCAGTGAGGATTTCTAGGTCTACCTGCTGTTGGTAAGTAAAATGGAAAAGCAAAGAAGAGCGGCCATTCTAATGGTGGAAGTAGCAGTAAAATTGTGGCCATGGCTGCAGATTTGGGTGCTGCGAATGGATTTGAAAATGCAAAGAGCATTGGTGGTGGTATTAGTGGTGAAAATGCCAATAGGAAGATCCAAATGATACTTTGGGAGCAGAGATAATGGAAATCAGTTGAAGTCACTGATTAGAAAGATGGATTTAGCTTAGATTAGAGCTTAACTGGTGCCGAAGTTGGATGATTGTAGTGCTGAAGGAGTAGGGTGGAAAGCAGCTAGTCTAAGCAACAAAAGAAAGGTTCAAGCTTGATGATGAAACTGAGCAAGAGAAGCAGCAGATCGAGAATTCCAACCCTTGCTAGCTGAGACATCCGCCACGTAGAAGATGGTTTGCTCGACCAGACTGATTTGATTGTGGAGTACATGAAGCTGTGCGAAGAGTAGCAGTTCATCCTCATGTTAGAGAGGATTTGAATGCACAATCCAAGCTGACCGTTGCAAGTTCTAGCTGAACATTCATCCTTGTGTCATGAACAAGGTACAATGTATGCTCCGTTTATACTGTGATTCATAGGATGACAGCTTGCAGATTCTATGTTGATGTTTTTAGTACCCCTTTGAGGAGTTCTACAAGACAATCAAAGTCATCGTGGGTGATAAGGTTGAGAAGGTGATGGTGGGTGTAGCGCCAACAAGAAGAGGATCATCAAGGCTGAAGCTTTGAGGGACAACAACCTGGGTCCATACACGTCTAGCAAGAAGACCATGGACAAGCTGAGGAAGAGTGATGATGCTGATAAGAACGACAAGTCTGTTATGGATCTTGTGCTACTGCTGTTCGACACTGCGTTGCCGACCTCTAGGTTCAGTGTTGAGGGCACTTTGGCAACCAGGATTCACAGGATGTTGAAACTTGAGCTGAGCACTGATGAGGATGATCTGGTTGGTGGTGATGAGTCGGAGATGCCTTCACTTGAGGATGATGGTGTTGTCGAAATCACAGATGGGTTTGGGACAGATCAGAATTTGCAGTAGCTGTGGTAAGTCTGCTGCTGATTGTTGGAGGCTGCTGCAGAATCCAGTTGCTGCTGCTTAAACTTGATAAACTCAATCTGGACATGATTTGAGTTTAGGGGAGGCTGTTTGTTAGAATAGTTAATCACATGCTTTGTGTAATGTGAAGTCTATGACAAATTCCTGAAGATGCAGAAGGAGAGAGGAATCATTTTGAAATTAGTGTGATAGGCTAGTCTCATGGGAGGCTAGGCAAGGTTGGTGCAGAAGCTTATGTGTTTGCTGTTGTGTTCATGTTGAAGAACAAGGTTGCTTGTGTGTTTGCTGCTGTGTTTTTGTTGAAGAACAAGGTTGCTGCAGAAGTTTATGTTCCTGTGAAAGTTCCTTTTCTTCAAACTGAAACGTTTGAAACGCTTTCAGTTTAGGGGAGGCTTTGTTAGATAATAAGCACACACGTGGTGTGTCACGTCAGCTTTAATAAGAGTTAGTCGTGACTGCAAAACAGGGATTAGAGGTTAGTAAGTCAGATTGTTAGCAGGTTCAGATGCTGTGAGTTTTTTGGTTAGTAGAGTCAAGTAGTGGTACTATACAAGTGGAAGGATTGCTGGATCAGTTGGCTATTCTCAAGGGTTGTGAGATTGTGGATGTTAGAGAGTGAGCTAGTTTGAAGCTTTGTGAGACCGTATTTATGTTCTGTTTTTCTTTCAATATAATCACTCAGTTTGTCTTCTATTGAGCTTAACAAATTAGAGATGATCACTGCAATAAACACACTTAAAATGAAGAACTGGCTGAATTATATAGGCTATAGCCTATCATATAATAAGGAAGGTAATGCTGAATCAGTCTCTTCACTCTTCTGCAGCTCCTTGAACATTATGCTTCCGTCTATTAATTCATTTCCTGTCTTAACATGATTAAGACAAAGTAAAATGCACTGATAGCTAGTTCGAAATGCAATACATTGGGGGGGGGGGGGGGGAGTTAGAAAGAAGCGGTTAGGAAAGTGTCCTGTTTAATTAGGATTATCATTCCATAGCTATATATAAGAAGTCAGAGGCTTACGATGAACTAAAAAGGTTGTATAAACCTCTGAGAAAGTAGCATTAAACTAACATTGATGTTATAAAATATAATTATCTTCAATGAGTACATTGCAGTAATTAAGAGAGTTCATTGAAGATACTACATTGCAGTAATTACAGAATTCAGTGCACTAATAAACTCTAAGAACAACACAAAGTAACTGCCTATCATCTTAACATTTCCATCTTCTATATTCTATTATACCCTAAGAACAACACAACAACTAATAGTTTATTCACAAAATCAAACTACTTAGTACTCACCAACCCAATTACTTGCTAATGCCCACCATTTCCCCACAAAATCTTTGTCACTATCTTCCACGCAGCTGTCCCCAAAGCCATCACCGATGTCCCACGAGGTAATTTCAATTTGAATGGTTTGTTGTCTTCGTCCGTATCTTCATCATCTTCAGAATGCACCCCCGTCCTTTTGTCTCCTTGCTTGGAAACCAGATGAAGGATCTCATCAGTGGTTCGTTCGACCTTGGCCATGGATTGCATTAGCTACTCAATTGCGTCACTGTGTTCAGAGTTAGCAAAACCAGCGGCTTCCAAAACCTTCTTCACATTTGTCACCCATGTTATGCTGGGACGTGTAAGCCAAAACCGAGGTTACCTTGAGGATATTCTCAATGGTTCCCACAGACGCATTCGCCGTCGTCAGAATTTGAGCCACCTTCTCGCCGGCGGCCTTGAGGTCCTCGGCCGGAGCTCTGGGTGGGAGGCGTTCATTGGAGCCCTCTTCATTTTTGAGATGTCCAGAGGGATGATTGGTGCTGGCTGAGTCGTTTGGAGGGAGCAGGGGCTTCTCCTCCAGAACTTCTTCAACCTTCTGGCCGACAGGGATCTCGGCGCCGGCGGGGAGGAGCTCCGGTGAACTCTGAACTTCTTCGCGCTTTGACTCAGTCACGTACGCTCTGGTCATTAAATTCAGAGAAAGCGATGAAAACGACACGATGATTACGTGGTATCCCCGATTGACGGGACTAGTCCACGGGAGAGCACTTGCTCTCCAAGCTGAATTCTTATTAGGTTTTATTATTTGTGGCCGTCGGCCATATATGCATCTTTATACCCTTTTCTACAAGCCTCTAGGGTAACCGTACAAGGACAATCAACTAAGCAACATAAATGGGCCGCAGCTCCAAGTTTGTGGGAAATGTCTCGGCTGGGCTTGTCACGAGATTGGGCCATGTCCAATACTCCCCCGCAAGCTGTGGCGTAAAGATCACGAACGTGCAGCTTGGACAACAGAAAATGAAAACGCTCCGCGCCGAGACCTTTAGTGAACATATCAGCAAGCTGGTGATCGGTGCGGATCTTCAAAGGGGCAATGTCACCTGACTGAACTCTTTCCCGAACGAAGTAGCAGTCCATCTCAACATGTTTGGTACGCTCATAAAAAACAGGGTTGGCTGCAATGTGGAGGGCAGCCTGATTATCACAATGAAGCGGAGTAGCGCCAGACTGCGGGACTCCAAGCTCGCTCAAGAGCCAACGTAACCAGAGAACTTCACTGACTGTGCTTGCCATAGCTCTATACTCAGCTTCAGCAGAAGAACGAGCGACAACCTGTTGTTTCTTAGTGCGCCATGAGACAGGGGCACCACCCAGAGTGATCACATACCCAGTAGTGGAACGTCGGGTGGATTGACAACCACCCCAGTCTGCATCACAATAGGCAACCAAATCAAGCGAGCTTGTCGCAGGAAAGAAAATACCTTGTCCCGGAGCCTCCTTGAGGTAGCGAAGTATCCGCTGAGCAGCATCCATGTGAGCTCGAGTAGGAGCATGGAAAAACTGGCTAAGAATGTTGACCCCATAAGTGATGTCGGGTTGAGTAACTGTTAAATATAACAAGCGGCCTACTAACCGACGATAGGCGGCGGGATCAGGATGATCAGCCGGTGCTGGGCGGGTGAGCTGATGGTTCTGTTCCACGGGGAACGCACTAGGACGGCATCCCAAAACACCCGAATCATGTAGTATGTCCAAGAGATACTTGCGCTGGCTAAGAACCATGCCATCCGGAGTGCGCGCTGCCTCGAGTCCAAGGAAGTAGCGCAAATTTCCCAGGTCTTTGATGCTGAACCGGGAATGAAGAAAAGCCTTAACATGAGAGATAAAATCAAGACTGGTGCCGGCAAGAACAACATCATCAACATAAATGAGAGTAGTGACATGAATACTCCCCCGTCGAAAGATAAACAGAGAGTGGTCCGCACGAGAGGGCCGAAAACCCAACTCACATAGGGCGGCTGTGAACTTATGATACCACTGTCGCGAAGCTTGACGAAGACCATAGATGGATTTATGAAGTTTGCATACTCGAGTATCCCCAGGCGCAGCAAAACCTTGGGGAATACGCATATAGACCTCCTCTTCCAGATCACCATGGAGGAATGCGTTGTTGACATCCAACTGATGAATATGCCAGCCCTTACTGACAGCAATAGCAAGCAGACAACGAACAGTAACAAGCTTGGAAACCGGAGCAAAAGTGTCGTGGAAATCCACACCTTCAACCTGGGTGTAGCCTTTGGCCACGAGTCGCGCTTTAAAACGCTCAATTGTACCATCGGGTAGAAATTTCACCTTGTACACCCATTTCGACCCAATGACACGCTTACCGGGAGGTAAAACCACAAGTCTCCAAGTTCCATTTTGCTCAAGAGCGTGAACTTCGGCTATCATGGCCTTGCGCCAGCGTTCGTCATTGACCGCCTCATGGAAGGTCCGAGGTTCGGGATGATGAGCAACCGCTGCAAGAAAGGCACAATAGTTAGCCGAAAAATTATCATAACTTAAGTGATTTGACAAAGGGTATTGAGCATGATGAGTGTCATTCCCTGTGTAATAAATGTCAAGCTTCTTGGGAGGAATGCGTTGACGATCACTGCGTCTCAAGGGAGGTGGAGCGGCCTGAACCGGAGAAGGCTGATGGCCTGCGGACAGATCCTCAGCGGGCCGAGTGTGGGCCGTATCCACAGGACGCGCTACAGTGGGCCTCGTCTGGGCCGAAGAGGTTGGGCTCGCGAGACTGAGCCGCGGCTGGGCCGGTTGGTCCGGGCTGGAGGGTGGTGATGAGGAGCTCTCGGCTGGGCTGGAGAGCCCAGGACTGTGGGGGGCAGGTGACGCAGCAGATGGGCCGGGCCTAGAGGGGGAAGCAGGCCGAACAGTCGTGGCCGGCCGAGAGGGCTGCTGCGCCAAGGCCTTAGAGGGCCCAGCGTCGAGTGAAGCTGATGCAAGAGATCCAGAAGAGTCACCAGCAGGCCGAAGGAGCTCATCGTCAGGAGCTTCTGTGGGGTGAGAAAAAACATCCCGAGGAATCCAATGGAATTGTGAAGATGTGTCAGATTGAAACGGGAAAACGTCCTCATGAAAGACGACATCCCGACTAGTAATGATGCGCCGAGCTTCCATATCGTAGGCACGGTAACCCTTTTGACTAGCAGCATAGCCAAGGAAAAGACAAGCACGACCACGCTCATCAAACTTACCAAGGTGGCCGTGTGTATCCTTGCAATAGACGAGGCAACCGAAGACGCGCAAGTGAGAATAACTGGCCGGTTGCCAAAGATAACCTCATAGGGAGTCCGTCCTGTAGCAGTAGTAGGAAGACGATTTATTAAGTAGCCTGCAGTGAGTACACACTCACCCCAAAATCGAATCGGCAGAGATGCCTGAAAACGCAGCGCTCTAGCCGTCTCAAGAATGTGACGGTGCTTTCGTTCAACAACACCATTCTGTTGGGGCGTGTCCGTACAGGATGTTTGAAGAAGAATACCTGCCTGTTCATAAAACTCACGTAAATCAATGGTATTAAACTCCGGACCATTGTCTGCCTGTATGCACTTGACCTGTTTACCAAACTGGGTGCGAACAAGATTGCAGAACAAACGCAGATATCGACCAACTTCAGATTTAAAGCGA